GGGCCAAGGGCTCCTGGCCCGGCTCACAGAGCAGAGGGGGATGCTGCAGCAGCGGTCTAACATCAGGCACTGCAGTCGCACCCACCCTGGGGGTCTGTCCAGGCACACACGGCTGCCTCGGCTGCTGCCCAAACACAAGAGCCTTCCTTCGGGAAGCCGCTGGCTCTGCTGCCGCAGCGATTTCATTCCTCTGCAATAGAAGGCTCAGGTTTGCACATCTTACCCCCACGGCCATACTTCAGGATCAGAACGCGCTGCAGATCACACCTGGAAACTGCCTATTTAATCCTAGAGGTTTTTTCCAACCTAAACAATTCTGTGAGTCTGTAAGACTGCTCTCAGCCTCCCTGCAATAAACGGGAGCGTCCATGGAGCAGAAACCAGCTGTGCTCTGGTTGTTTTGTATCTACATTCACTAGCCCATTGTCATCAGTTATGTATGTCTGTGTCAAAGCTGTTTTTCAGAACACTGGCAGCCACAGCAGCAGAGAACTGACTGCCGTTCAGTTGCCACAGACAGCTTCAAAGCCCAGGCAGATCCCAGATTGCATCCTGCAGCTTGGATTCACAGCTCCACCTCAACATGCCTCTGCATGCTTGCCTGGAATGAGCTGCCTCCTCTTCCTGTGCACCACATCATCTCACACTTGCTGTTTTTACTCCTTTACTTCTAGGTTAGCTGTACCTTTGCTGAGCAGAAAATATTGCAATTCCAAGGAAAGCAACAGTGACGAGTCACTTCAGACAGTGACAGTAGCCATGACTGCTAACACACGGCATAGCAAGGCTGCTGAGCAGGGACTGCCATTACCATTTTACAGAGAGGAGAATAAACTCCTTCAGAAGGCAAGGGTGCAAAAAAGGCAGATGCAAACTGGCGCTTTCCAAGTGACCAGATTAGCTGCTTTTGAATTCCAATAATCACTCGTGTTTGCTCTCCATTTACCACTTTAATCCCACTCGAGCACATGTCAGTGACTCATCTCCCCTCTGCCCCTGAACAGCCACAGATCTTCTCATCTCACCCTTGATCAGTCACCAAACACCCTGCTGTTGGACAACCTCTCTGACAAATCCCTTACACGATTAACTCCATTTGAGTTCCTCACCCAGACTGAGGTGCTGCACCAAGGGACCACCTATTTGAAGCCCTGCTCTGACATACACTGTTCACTGAATCCATATTTGTTTGCTTTTCAATATTTTTAAGTCTTCCTTCATTTTAGTCTACATTTTTCTTAATAGATTTATCTTCAATATAGGAAGAGGTGTTTCTACTAAGACCGTTCCTATGTTGTGCTGAAGCCAAGGAATTTAGGCAAAGATATCCTTTTAAGTGTATTCCAAACACAGCCCCGCCTTGTCCTTCAGAAGTACCTGGCAAGTGACATTAGTCAATGCTGCTCTGTTGCTCCATCACCCTCTGCAAGGGCTGGAAATGCTCTGTGGACAGTATGGGATGAACAGGGCAGCAGACAAATGAACACGGACACTTGTGTCTGCCCAGCTGGGTGGGGATGCACTTGTACACGTTTTCTTTCCCAACAGCAGATAAACCTATGGCTAAAGTACAAAACTGGCTTTTCAGGTGGCAGCTTTTAGGGAGCTGGCAATGAAGCACAGCCTGTTTCTGTGGCCAACACCTGCTGGTTGATGATGGAAAGGCACAAGCAGATGATGCAGCTGCTGCAGGACAAGTCTGATCAGCACAGCCTTGCACTCAGCCAGTGAACAAACCAGCAAGCACAGACCCCTCCCGTGGCCACACGCCCGCCTTGTGTCTGTCCAGCGCTCCACCCCACAGGGCTGGTCCCTGTGTGACCCCACAGCCTCGGGAAGCACAAATAACCCCCACAGATCCCTGCTCATGTCAGGCCGGTCAGGGCAAGGTGCTTTACTTTGACCAAGCAGACGGTAAACTGGGGGTGAAACTACTCAATGGTAGAAAACAGATAGACAAAGCCAAGTAAAACCAAGTTATCTTTCCTTATGCCAAACATCAGTTGTTCCCACTCACGTGGCTGACAGCTGCTGGCCTGTCTCCACGAGCAGGCACTACTGCAGAGCCAGCCTGGCAAACGGGAGGTTTGGGGCTGTGCAAACTGACTCCCACTTGAGAGTGAGCAGAGATCTGTTCTGCCCTTTTGATTTCCTTTTATTTCCACTTTTTGATCGAGGAAATAAAGCAAAGCTTCACAAGGAAAAATGTTATGGCCCAAAGTCCACACACAACATTAGCAAGTGGAAGATGTGCCAGCCTGGGAGGAACATCCAGGCCCAGGGCTCCTCTCAGTGCTCCCAACATCCTCTCTCTGCCAGCCTGGCCCCATGGCAGGGCAGCACGGGGCTTGTGGCACAGCAGGATGGCTCTGCTTCCAGGTGCAATGGCAGCACTGGGACTTTCTCCATACTGAGAGGTGAAACAACTCCACATCAGTTTGTGTAATGCATTTCTATACTCTTCTGTTACAGAACTGTACAGTAGAGTGTCCCTTGTGCTGTCCAAAGACCCAAGTTGTGGCCGAGATGCAGATTCAAATTAAAGTAAAAATAAATATCAGTCACTGCTTTACAATTCAAATTCATGCGAAGAAGCCAAACTCTAAATGCAAAATTAGATCAACCCAGATTCACAACCAGATCTTGTACATAAACAGAGCAGGGTTGCTCAATCCTGGATTTGTGCCACTTTCAGTGTTTTTCTAGTCTTGCCAGGCTCATCCTAAGGCAGGGACCCAGGGGAGCAATGTTGCTGATGTGCTGCAGTCACACACACTGTGGGGTTTCCCTGCTATTTCTGCTCTCTCTCCCCACATGCACAAGGGTGTTGCAGATGCAGTTTGGAACAGCTCTACCTGCTTCAGGGCTTCACCTCACAGCTGTCTCCATGGATTATAGCACTGCCGGGCTACAGCTATTCCACCTGTATTTGTCATGCCAAGAGTCTATCTCAAATGGAAGTATTTGGACTTGTGAAAAACAATCAGGTCGTTTTAAGAACAGGGAATAAGATAGTGCTTTAATTAGACAAACATTAACCACTGCAGCTTCAGCAGAAGGTTTGACAGGTGAGGAACCAGTAAGCCACAGAGAGGAACAAAACCCAGAGAGGAGTACTGTACTGCACACACAATGCAAACTCTGCCCTGAGGAATTATGTCAAAACAAGGTTAAATATTTCACTGGGACTAATACTTCCCATTTAATTTATTTTTATAAATCAATCTGCATAATGTATGCTGGCATCCTTTATGTTTCAATTTTGCTTACAGTAATAAAACTAACTCTGCAAATCATCCTTGGCTTTATGTTATTTTTACATCCAAGAGCACCGAGTGATAGAATCTTGGCAGGACAGATCTGACTAAGAGAGAGAAAAAGCATTGTACTTCCCAAACATAGCAGAACAAGTCTGATTTTAAAGCAGTAGGATGAAAATTATTCAGCCTACAGTTAAAATTAGAGGTATGGTGAGATTGAGACTGCAAGAGAAGTACTGAATTAAATGCGTTTTTACTTGTCTCCAACAAGCTTTTTTCATTAGTGCCTGGTAAATGAAATACTAGCAGCTTTAAAAGTCTGTGAAACAGTCAAATGCACAAGGTGTTTCATGGAGGAAATGGCCCTGCCATTATCACCAGGGCAGTGGCAGAGCACGGGCAGATGCCACGGGCATCCCTGGCTCTCTGTTCACTCATCCCCTGCCTCCAGTGCTGGCTGGGATGAGAAGTGGCAGCACTGTGCCACACATGGCAGCAGCACCCAGGGCTCCCATCAAGAGCCTTGGCAGCCTCCTCTGCCTCCTCCTGCCCCCTGAATGGCCGTGGTGGTTCCCCAAGTCCCCTCTCCCTCCAGCACCCACTCCCAGCTCAGTGGGGAGAGGCCCAGGGCATCCAGGGCCCCAGCTCCCATCCCTGCAGCAGCAGCCGTGGTGCCCAACAGCCACAGCCTGGCTCAGGTCAAACCCTGACACCTGCACAGGCACGAGGCCCCTCCTCAGAGCCACCCTGGCACCTGCTCGGCACCCTCTGCTCTTCACTGTGCTCAGGAGACAGACACACAGCAGCTCTGGGGCCTCCTGTGAAGAGTCATTACTGAGCCTCACCCCAAACATGTGTATGTGTGTGTGTATGTGTATGTGTATGTGTATGTATATGTGTATGTGTGTGTATGTGTGTGTATGTGTGTGTGTGTGTGTATATATATATGTATGTGTGTGTGTATGTGTATATTTTTAATAGACATAAAGAAATATAAACTCCACAAACATTTTGAATGCTAAATGGAAAAAAAAATCATTAACTGGTAGAGTTCACTCATCCAAATAACCAAATCAAGATATTCCCGTTCCCCTCCTCCCAGATACACTATTTACAGCCATCAGGAATGTGTCACTGCTCAGCATTCCGACCCACTGCCTCCGCAGGCTTTTCCTTTCTCCAGCAGGAAATCCTCCAGCTGGCCCTACTTTGTTCTGTAGCACATTTTAAATTCAGCTGCTTTGCATCAATTGAATGTAGGTGCATGCAGGCATTTGGTACCTGCATGTGGGTGTTCCTCCTGGTGAGATTTCCTTACTTTCAATTTCCTTGTGAGCAAATTAAAAGGGAAAAAATAAAAGAGTAATTCCTTCAGTGATTTTTCTGCCTTTCTGCAATATACACACACGCAAAATTCTTAAAGAAATGTAGATGTAGAAAACAACAGCCACTGAAGGACTCTGCATCCCCCAACTTGTATTGAACAAGTCCTGCCTAAGATTATGTTGAAGGGTTTGCTCAAAGAAGTGTTGCAGATTTCTCCTTAACAGGAAAAATTTTGATTTCCCCAAGCCTTTATGCTTAGAAGTAAAATTATTTGCAAGTTGGTGTCATATCACACCATGGGCCCAATGTTACCCTGGACAAGGATTCCGTGGAAACTCAAGCAAGTGGATATTGAGTGTGTCTGCAGCTTTCCTGGGCAAGTGCCATGCCCACGGTGGGCACGGGGCTGTCAGGGCAAGGGGCTCGAATCCCAGGCTGTGTTCCAGGACAGAAAGGAGGTGATGGGAAAATAAACCCTCGGAGCTGCAGGGGGTGAATCACTCTCCTCCCAGAAGCAGAACCCTTAGCCTGGGGCTAAAAAAGCAAAACAGGGAGTGAGGTAGGACACTTGCTAGGCAGAGTATCCTCGGTTGGTTTGGTTTGGTTTGTTTGTTGTGGGTTTTTTGATGCTCAACAGCTCTTCCCACTAAAGAGCAGAACCTGTGACAATACACAGGCTGTAATTGCTCTAAGAACATGAACCACATTTTCACCAAACAAGAATGGACGTGTTGGGCTGTTCGAATTCCTGGTCTAGTCAGGCATGTCTTATCTCTGGCTACAAAAAATGGAAATGCATAATGAGGACAGCCAGTCGTCTTGTAGGTAACTGACCACAATTCCCACCACAGGATAGGACTGTTGGCAAGACGTGGTAGCAGTTCAGGGAAATTTAGTACTGCCAACTGAATAGATCTGTCAAATTTCTTTCTGCAAAATGTTATGTCTACAACTACTAGAAATAGCACAGCTAAGTGATAAAACTTAAACAAGTGTGAAAAAATATTTGCTTTACTTTCAAGTCTGTTTTCCTTGTGAATCTGACAGCATTTATTCTCTCAAAGTCATGTTTCATGTGCCCAAGGACTGCATTTTCCACCCCCCACACCTGTGTTCTCATAAACAGCAGCAGTGCTTAAACAGATTCTGCAGCAGCTTGTACACGACTGAGAAGGCAGGCTTGTTGGACACTTTCATCTAAAAAGAAATAGGAATAAAATAACTTTATGTAAGAATATAGTCCTTAAAACACTGAAATGCTCTTTAATGTCTGCCTTGATGAGGCCTGGCCCTACAAAGACTGAAAGAATTTTCACATTGCCAGAACCTTCCTTCCATGAATAGGCACTGATTTCATGTACTACTTTAGGATCAGGTCTTAGAGGACACTATTTTTAACTATATGAAGAACAAACACGTCTAAAACACCTTAACCCTCCAGCTGAGGCTATACACACTTTAAAGCCATTCTAATATATGCATAATTAATGTGTATATTACTCAGCAAATGGTAAACAGCAAGTGTTGCAGTAACTCTCCTGTCAGTAATTTTAATATGGTACCAAAATATGCTACTGTAAATTAACTAGTACATTATGGAGTGTCATAAATAATTAAAACTAAAATTATAACTGGCAAAATGAATGAAGCAAGAACATTTTGTAACCCAGTGCTCTTCCTACTTGACTTCATAATTTTCTAATTTGAGTAAAACACTAAATCTGATTTTGTCTGAGCACAAAAAGGAATTTGTTCATATAATTAACTAATTTGGAAAGTAGCCTGCTTGGAAAGAAATTGAAACATGTTAAAAGCTCCACATAAGCCATTCTATGATAAAACAACACAAACTGCTCTCCTGTCATCATTCCCAGGGCCCAGGTGAAGCCAAAGGAAGCACATCCAGCGAGTGAGAACCCTGGGGACAAAACTCTGCTCCAAGGGGGGACACGAAGCCCTGAGAAGAGCCCATCCTACCTGGTCGCAGAGGACCCAGCAGAGAGATGGAGCTTGTCGAGCTGACACAGCAGGAGCGAGCAGGAGCTCTGTGTCCTCACGGGCCAGGCTCCCCACAGCACACACCAGGGCAGCTGCTGGGGCAGGAGAAATGGGCTCTGCCTTGCCAGAGTTACAGCACTTCAGCTTTTGACACCTGGAGGTGAGAACAGACAGGTGAACAGCACACGAGTGACATCACTCTATCTTTTACAGGAATTTTTAAAGCAGACCAAAGCTGCTTTTATGCAAGCTGGTAGAATTTGCTGCTCCATTACTTCAACCAATAGGAAGTGTCAAATTGGTTTTGCAAAAGTCTTCTGTTCTGTACCGTTTTTGCTTTTTAATTTTCACTCTTTGGTTTCACTGAAATAACAGGTCTCTTTTTTCAGACAGACATAAAAGAGGCTGACAGGCAATGTCTGCTGCTCCATTGTCTCCAGGTGGATTCCATGTTCTGCTTCTTCATTCCTCTCACCTTCCTGCCTTGTCTTCTCTGAAGTACTGTGGAACCTTCCATCTGCCCATTAAAAAAAAATTAATTTGTTGGTGTTTATTTACTGGACAAAGAACTACATCAATTAATCTGTTTATGCTGCCTGAGCTCACGCTGACTTTCACTGAAGAGAGCACCATCCCTACCAACACAGCAGGGCCAGACCTGGCCCCCTGCCCACGCAGCCCCCGACCCCTCCAGAGCAGTGGGAAGAATGCTGGGGCTGGGGGCCCCAGGATGAACTCTCAGGGAGAAATCCCGATGGAGCTGGAGCTCTGACCTTGTTTCTGCAGCCTCCAAGAAGGAGGTTCCTCCATCTCTGGAGCCCACCATGTACAGAAGGATCCTCAGTGGCTTGGGCAGGTCCCTGGGCAGCCTGGGGCTGCTGGCTGGCTGGTGGGCTGCACCCAATGCCCCAGCAGTGGTAAAGGGGAGATGCACAAGGGAAAAGATTCATCTCTGCTCAAGCCTGACTTGTGCAGCTCCACTGCAGCAGATGGAAATCTTTGGGGACAACAATGTCCCTGCTCCACAGGGTAAGGCAGCTCCCCCTGGCACAGCGGGGTGGGCACAGCACTGAGAACATCCCAGGGGAGAAGCCCATGTAGAACTGCCCTCTGAGAGTGCTAAAATATCCTCCACCCATCTGTCCTGCCCAGCCTGGCTGTGGCACCCTCCTGGGAGGCTGAGCAGGGGACACACAGCCTGTTCCTAGCACAGACAGCCCACAGGCCACCCCAGGGAGCTTGTCAGGCTCTGGGAGATGCTGGAGAGAATGGGATGCTCCTGCAGGGATGCACTTCCCCAGGAGATCTTGAGTTCTGGACAAAGCTGTAATACCACTCTGCTGTGGACAAGGACACCGGGGGTTGCACTGGGTATAAGAAAGGACAGTTTCTGGTTCTCAGGTTTTTATAATAATGATGGATTAATCCTGTTCTTGTTAATCTGCCAGGACAGAACAGCTGACATAAGACTCCTCCAAGCTGCAATGGGTGTCCTCAGCTGCAGGAGCCAGTGGCTGGTAAGCACACAATTAACTCCCACAGACCAACTATTCCCTTCTTTTTTTTTTTTTTTTTAATAACCATTTCTTTACGCAAATGTCTCCTGGTATTTTAAAAATCCATTTTAATCAATTTAAAATTAATAACAAACCAGCAAAATCCTTAGGGCCTGAAAGCTGCAATCCCTGCCACTCTGGAAGTGATGAGGCAGCTGCAGTGTGGTGGCCGTGGAGCAGCTGAGGCTGCCCAGGAGAGCTCAGTGAGCTCCCTTGGTTTGCTATTCATGGAACCGTGGCTGTCCCTGCCATTCTAGGAGAGCTGCTGCACTCCAAGGGCAGCTGCTGTGCCTCTGTCCTGTGCTCTGACCACGCTGGAGCCTCTCCAAGGGCAGGGAAAGGACAGTGGCCACAGGACACAGCACACACGGAGCCCTGCCCCACTCCCTGGTGTCTGCATGGTGTCTCCTCACGTTCCTGCCCTGCTCACCAAACCATGCTCTGCTCAGGCTAGAACAGGAACCAGCAGTGCCCAGAGCGGGGCTCACAGCCAGGCCCAGCAGCACTCCCCTCCCAAGGGAGCACACACACACACACACACACACACACACACACACACACACACACACTCATTGCTGCTGTGCTGCCTCCCTGCTCACGGTGCCTGGCAGGTGCCATGCTCCCTGAATGCTGTGCTGGAAGTTCCCCACAGCACAGGCTTTCCCTGCTCCTGGCAGGTTTCCTCATGCCAGTCATTCTGGAACTAGCTCAAGCACAAGTGTTCATGAGCTGGGAGGACAAAGAGAACAGCCATCAGAGGCTGCAGGACCAGACTCACTCGAGTCCAATTCCTGCTCTGGCAAATGCCTCTTCCTCACAACATTCCTGTTCACCAGCTTCCTGAATGCCCAGAGCCCCTGTTTCTACAACTACAGTCTCCAGAGATGCAGGAAAAGATCTTCTGGAGCCCTGGGAAGCACATGGGTCCTGCTGCTGCAGGGCACTCCTGTGCCCACGTCCTGCTCATGCCCCTCGTATTCAAGGAGTGGTTTTGTCCCTGCCAGAGGGGCCCAACGTGACAAAATGACTGCCTGCTCACCTGGTGATATTCACCTGTGATAGACATGAAAGATTTTGGCTCACACCCTCATTTGTTCACTGAAGAGAAATCAAAATGAACCAAAATGGTTGAACATTTTGTAAATTAGTAACTGTTGAAGCTCCACTCCTCTGGAAGGCTGCAGAGTGACAGATGTAGTGCAATGGCAAATGACAGAATAGCTCTCTAAAGTTCAGGTGTGAGATTTCGAAAGACCTTCCTCTAATGTCCCACACCAAGTGTAACAGGCATTCCTGAGGCAAATAACAGATTTATTAAAAAAAATAAACAAGCAAATCTTTCTTTAAGAGAACATGATGGCAATCTCTGCAGGATATGTTAAGGGCACCCCATAAATGTTCTGTGCCCTGCTGAGGCTTTCCCTATCCTCCTGCTGGTGAGCACAAAGCCTCTGGAGACTGAAATTCAATGTCAGATTTTGTAGTGAAGCAACAAAACAATATTCAGTGCTTTAAGGACAAAATCTGTTATGAGTGCCACCATTTTGGTTCCCAACTTCAGTTTCTTTTATGACTACTTCAGTGCTTGAACAAGAGTTTTGACTAAACCAGTCTCTTGCTGATAATATCACAGGCACCCAAGAACAAAACTAAATCTACTTCCAGTTACTTCTGTAGCAGGAAAAAATGGTCCTAAATTTCTGATGTGTGTGTGTGGCCTGTGAAACATGGTGCTTGCTAAATGAAAAGTATAAACACTACATTTTTAAAGCTCATTTTTCTTTTTTCTATTTGTTCACTTTTTTCAAGGATAACACATGGAGGAAAAATGAGGTGACTTCGAAGATTCTGAAATGTTAGCTTTGTAGCACAAAGTGAAAATACAAATGTATTCTTGCATGAGCACAGCAAACAGAAAGGGTGGTCATCCCCACCACATCCTGAAATATGACCAAGTACTTCGTTCAGAAGTGGCATCACCTTTATTGAGCACAGCCCAGGCATCAGCTTAAATCTGCAGCACATGTCCAGTACACTTAACTTACAGCAACTTCCACCCTGAACCTGAGAGTACATTAAGGGGTGCTAATGATTATAATGCACATACCAGATCAAGCAGATTCTGCAGCAATGTTTTAATTTTCGTTTAGTTTAAATTTAAATTATGAGTTACATCACTCTGCTAAAAAGCGGGGAAAGAGGTTCTGTAAGTGTAGCAGCAGGCACACATCTTCATGTATCCTTCTCTCTTTTCATCTTGTTGAACTTCACAGACTTCCAAGTGCGGGTAGATCGAAGCTCCATCTAGTGCCAGGGCCGGGAGCTTACTGGGAGATGTTGGCTCGGAAAGCAGCAAACATTCCCGGAGGAGCAGCAGCAGCCTGGCACGGCGGAGTGCCAGTCCATCCCTCTGGAATGGCTCTCCCAGGGATAAAGGCTGCACTGAGCAGCTGCAACACCTCAGGCTCAGCAGCTGGAACACGGACGCCCCGTGCCGAGAGGGGCACCTGGCCCTGAGTCCATCAGCAGCCCCTCCTGCACCTCCCCTCTGCATCCAGGGACCCGGGAACACGAACCCACCTGAGCTCCATCAGCAGCCCCCCCTGCACCTCCCCTCTGCATCCAGGGACCCGGGAACACGAACCCACCTGAGCTCCATCAGCAGCCCCTCCTGCACCTCCCCTCCCTGCCCTGGGCATCCCAGCTCACGCTGCTCACCCCTGCCCAAAGCCAGCAGTGGCTCTGAAATGCCCTGGCTCCTCACAAACACCTGCCGATGGCAGCACAGAGAACGGTGTCTTACCCACACACCGCAGAGTCTGGCTGCTGCTAATGTTCGTCTCCTCTCTTTTTCTGTGGTTTTTTTTCCAGTGGTAAGTGCTAGAACTGCACCTGTTTCTAGCTGTGTAACAAAGCCATGCCGCATGTCCCAACTCCTGTAGGCACAACTATTCTGACCCAAAACGAGGAGGAGGTTTGTGTAAAGAGGACAGCTGCTCAGATGGTTCACTCAAAGCAATGAAGGGTTTTTTCACATGTGGAAGTCTTTTTGTTTCCACAAAACACCTCTTCTAAGATTACACAGACAACTTTGAGCAGAATAATTTTCATGTACTTTGTTCCTCAAAAATGTGATATTTATTTGAGTGGATGCAATTAAGAGAAAAGCACTACACCTATGGCAGAAATAATTCTCTCTACGATGAAACTGAGTACTTCAACTACCAAAAATTCACATCAAAATATTCTAAATAGTAAATATACACTGGCTCTTCTGTGCCAAGCTAACAGCAGACAAATTGACTGCTGCTTATAGGTAGGATCAAGTTTTTTGTGGCTAAATAAAAATTTGGTATAAGGTTAGAACGGTATCATTTTGCTGGGAAAATACGGCTTTTTAGACTTCAGAATTATTTTTAAATGCTTTTGAAGACAGCGAATGTTTTAGGTATAAATTGTGTATCACAGATACATTTATGTATCTGTGATTCAAAAATCCTTTGGATTTTTAACAAGTAATAAGCATTAACAGCAAAATCATTTGTGATCAGCAGCAGAAACAGCATGAAGACAAACATTTGCAGATTCTACCAGTGCAAGCAAGTTGAATGAAGAAAATAACGCCCTGAAAAAGCTGCAGAGCTCCCCAGCTGCACCATGCAGGTGACTGAAGGTGCAGCAGAAAGTGGTGCAGAAACAATCCCCGTCAGTACCTGTGAGCCAGAGAAACAGAACTGTGTGTCAGGCTGTCACCAGGAGCAGCTGGGACAACGCTGCTGCCCACGATGCTGTCCCCTGGGAGAGGGTCCCGTGCTCCTGCCGTGCACCACAACAGTCACAACTGGGTTTTCTTCTTACTGCGTGCCAGCACAGTGAAAAAATGCAGATCAACTATTAAAAAGCTAAATTTTTTCTACCAGTCAACTGTAACAGAGAAAAAGCTAAGCAGATGAAGCCTGTGAAAAGTTAAATGTTCTCTTTCACCTTTTATCACTGTTCATTGTGGTCAGTGAAGTGTGCCCAGGGGTCACAGGTTCAGACTTTACACCACAGTAAGATTGTTAACTGTCCCTGTTAAACCACACTGCACAAATTGCCAT